AATATGCTCACATCATTCATTCTTTTATACCTGCTCTTGCCTATCTCACTCATAACACACATTATGAGGATATGTGTTATGGGCAAAAGAGAGACGGAAGAGCATCCTGGAGTTTGTAAACAAAAATGAGGCAGGACAATAATGAATATAAAAAATAGAAAGATTATTTTAAGGAAGATATATTTATAATTGATCCCACTATATAACCTTTTGGTAGTCTAGGTAACGAAGCTAGTTTAAACTGATTTAAGGTTCACTGAACTTGCTTTAAATAATTTATTATGGACTGAATGTTGGTATACCCCCAAATTCATATATTGAAGTCCTAACCTCCAATGTGATGGTATTAGGAGGAGGGAACTCTGGGAAATGATTCGGTTTAGATGAGGTCATGAGGGTGGAGCCCCCATGATGGGATTAGTGCCCTTATAAAAAGAGATCAGAGAGCTTGCACATGTTCTCTCTCTTTCTGTCTGCCCCGGCCCCATTCACGTTAGAATACAGCAAGAAGTCAGTCATCTGCAAGACAACCCTCGCTAGAAACTGAATTGGCCAGCACCTTGATCTTGGCTTTCCCATCCTCCAGACTGTGAGAATAAATGTTTGCCATTTAAGCCACCCACTCTACAGTATTCTGTTATAGCAGCCTGATCTAAGACAGAACTCTAATAGTAAGTACATTAAAAGATACCAACAGAACCATCTGTAAGAAACAAAAATACACAGGAATTTATGGTTATTTTCTTGTATTTGTGGAGCCCAGATACACCGGCTTTCACTGCTGGGAAGAAAGGAACCCTAAACCAACTCATACCTCACATGCCTACAGGAGTGGACTCACTCCCTAGAGGTCTAATGTCAGTGCTGAAACTAATGTTCTGTTTATGCATCTCAACTGCATTTTTATTTGATATTTTGCCTTTTCTGGCTTAGAAAGTTTTATGACTCTATAACAAGGAATTTATTTCTTATATATTTCACACATATTTCCTTTATAACATATTTTTGATATTTACATGTATGTGTATATTTATGTAGCAATTTTTAGGAATGCAACTTTTGTCTGTAAGAGTCAACTGCATACTTCCTTTACCAGAGTATAATTCTCACTACACAAAAGCAACAAAGATTATAAATTCCAATTATCAGTGTTGGCTCTCTAAATGCATCTGATATTTCCCATATAAAATAAATAGTCTAAAAAGATGGTCTGATCAGATAAGAAAAACATAACAGACTATCAATGTAGATTTGGGAAAAACACAAAATCATTATGTATTAATCAAATTCTCATAAGATACTAAAGAATAACTCAAGACTATTGTGACCTTTTTTCAGTCTGCCTTAGTTGATACTAAACACAGAGTGACAAGAACAACTACTCGTGGACACAGAAGTCTTAGAAATTGTTTATATGAAGAGGAAGGGAACAGTAGGATGGTACCATGTGTTTCAGAACTGCTTCATGTGACTCCTAGATCGGCTCAAAAAGGTAACATTTGATATAATGCATGATTTATTTCATGGTGCTCTCTCAAAACATATTTGCTGTAGGGTAGGGTGTGGTAGCTCACATCTAAAATCCTAGCACTTGGGGAGGCCAAAGCCAGAGGATTGCTTGAGGCCAGGAGTTCCAGACCAGCCTCGGCAATCTATTGAGACCTTGTCTCTACAGCAAATAAAAGAATTAGGTGGGCCTGGCAGTGCATACCTATAGTTTCAGCTACTTGGGAGGCTGAGGCAAGGATTACTTGAGCCAAGGAGTGGGAGGCTGCAGTGCCCTATGATCACACCACTGCCCTCCAGCCTCGGTGACAGGGTAAAGACCCTGTCTTAAAAATATATATATGTATATTTGCTGTAGCAAAAACAATTAGGAGTTACAGATGACAAAGTACAGAGCTATTAAAGAGTAATAAAATTTATCCATGTGAAACTATGATGTTTAAAATTTTGCCAAGAACACTCAAGTTGTATGATTCTATCAAGCACTGTATCAACTGGTTTACCCTATTTAACTCTCCTCTGCAAAACTTTAAGTTTATAGGGGCAGTTTCTTCAATATGTCATTAAAAAAAAGTACTGAAGAAATCACATATTTACTATAATTTGCACACCAAGTCTAGAATCTCTTCTTCACATTTTTCCCCCAGGTTGTCAAAAAGGATTTTACTTATTTTTTATTTCAAAATATTAAGGGGGTACAAATGTTTTTGTTACATGGATATCTTATACAATGCTTAAGTCAGGGCTTTTAGTGTGCCCATCACCAGAATAGTGTTCATTGTACCTGATAGGTAAGTTTTTATTCCTCACCCCCTTACCCTCCCTCCCATCTTGGTTTCCAATGTTCTTTACATCTCTTTGTGCCTGGGTGTGCCCATTGTTTAGCTCCCAATTATTAGAGAGTATATATGTTGTTTTTATATACAATACATATTGTTTTTCCATTCCTGAGATACTCTGCTTAGGAATAATGGTCTCCAATTCCATCCAAGTTGCTGCAAAAGACATTATTTTGTTCCTTTTATGGCTGAGTAATACTCCATGGTGTATGTATGTAAATGTGTGTGTGTGTGTGTGTGTGTGTGTGTGCCCTGTTCAATAAATGATGCTGGGAAAACTGGATAGCCATATGCAGAAAAATGAAACAGGACTCCTATCTCTTGCCATATACATAAATTAATTCAAGATAAATAAAAGACTTCAATGTAAGTCATGAAACCATAAAAATTCTAGAAGAAAATGCAGAAAAACTCTTTCGGATAGTGGCCTAAGCAAAGAATTTATGACTTTCTTTTAATGTTTCTCTTATACATGATAATGTAGTTTTAAATGAATACCTAGAATTATAGTAGAGTGAAGCCTAGATTTATATATAGCCATAGGTGAAAGCATGGTAGTATCATTTTATAAATGCAAATAATACAAAAATTTGAGGAAAAATACGTGAGGACAAAAGTACTGTATTCATTTTGGCCCTATAATTACATGTAGTTTTATTGTATTTTCTATTATTTGAAGTTAGCCATCAAATGGAAAATTCCTGATATGTACAAGAATGATAAATTTAAGCAACTAGCAAAAAAACCCTGAAGTTCAGATGGGTCGTTCCCTTGGATTACATATACACCAAAAAAAGCAAGAGTTAATCTCAAGGAAAACTCAGGATATACAGACAATGAAACAGACTCTAAATCACATGACACTTGAAATGTGGCAAGTCCAAACTGAGATGTGATGTAAGGGTAAAATACATATTGGATTTCAAAGAC